TTTTCATTGAGTTGTTAAATAATTCAGTTTGAACAATGGCTACGTACTTTTTAATTTCTTCCTTGATCCATGTTCCTTAAAAATTAACGTGGATATCTTTTTTTCAATACTTACAATGTTTTTTAGATATATCACTGTTGTTGACATAAAATCTTATCCCCTAATGATTGGAAAATCCAGTTTGTAGAAGTTCAGGCTTTTAAAATATTTTAAAGAGCAACATATGATCCATACACTGGTGAATAAATATTTCGTGTGCACTTGAACAGAATGGTGCACCTTGCTCTGTGAGTAACAGCTGAGCCGAATCAACGAACAGATGCTCATCTTTACTGATTGCTTTTGTTTAGTTGTTTTATCACTGCAGAGAAGATGGATAGAAAGCTCCAACTGTGGGTGTGGATTTTTCCATTTCTCCAGTTCTGTTATTTTGTTTTATGGTTTTTAAAGTGTAAATATTTTATACAATTTGAATCTTCCTTATTTCTGATGCTATTCCTTACTTCAGTCTACTTGTTCTGATAGTTATTTGTCCATCACCTCTTCCTTAAGCCTACTTGTACAAAGTGTTTTTTCAGCCTCATTATCAATGTCAGCCCTGCAACTTGTCCCTGATAGAAAATGAACCACTTGATCTTTCTTTTCCTAAAAAACAAAAACAAAAACAAAAAAAATCCTAAATCTGATGACAGATAGCTTTTAAAGAATTAAAGAATTCAGTCCTTTTATTGATTGGATTAGTTTTGAATCTACCATATTGCTAGTTGTGATCTCTTTATCCAATTTGTTTCATTGGTTCTGTGCACCTCCTTCCCTTTCTTCACACAGATTATTTGAATCATTTTAATATTCACTTTGATTTCCTGTATTGGATTTTCATCTGCATATTTTTAAAGATATTGTTCTAAGAATTACAACATACATCATTATTTCACTATAATATTTTAAAAATATTTATTTATTTGAAAGGCAGAGTTACAGACAGAGAAAGGGAAAGACATAGAGATTTTCCAACCACTGTTTCACTCCCCAAATGGTTGCAATGGCTGGAGGTGGGCTGATCTGAAGCCAGGAGCTTCTTTCCAGTCTCCCAAGTGGGTGTGGGGCCCCAAACATTTAGGTCATCTTCCACTGCTTTCCCAGACCATTAGCGGGGAGCTGTATCAGAAGTGGTGCAGCTGGGACTCTAACTGGAACCACAGATAGAGGCTTAACCTACTACCACGGCACCAGTCCCCATGATAATCTTTTTAGAGCTAACTCTGTACCACTTTGTGGAAAATGTACTAACTTTAGAAGAAGAAATTTTGGGTAAACTTTTGCTCTCCTTTGGGCTACTGTTACAGCATATATTTATATAAAATGATAGAAATATGGAAACTATTTGGATCAATGTTTATGATGAAGGTTTCTTTCGCGCCTATATTTGCTAATACTCAGTTTGCTCTGGGCAATGAAGGTAGACTTTGAAAAAATGAAGAATAAATTTATACTGCAAGAAGTAGGAGTAAGGGTGTGCATGTGTGTGTGTGATGTATGCACATTCATGTGTATGTGTAAAGCTGATAATTGATTTTGTTCCTGCTTTTGAATGTCATCTGATTTTCAACTTATATTGGGAGATTTTGTGCTCATTGATGGAGAAGGCTAGGAAAGAGGCTGTCTTGAACTTATCTCATTTGTGTTCAGTACTAAAGTGAGACATATCTACGTTTCAAAGGAACTTTGTTCACCACAACTTGATCATTTTAGCCAAAAATTATCACAATAGAGAATGTCTGTTCTAAAGACATTTGAAAACTTGCATTCTGAAAGAGCTTTTCTCTTACTTTGAATACTTCAAAGTATGTCCGGCCATGTTACTCACAAGTAAGTCACAGTGACCAGGAAGTGCATGCATCTGTCATGGACCCGTTAGCTGAGCATTCCTTGTGAGGAGCAGCCTGTATTCAAAACCACAGATCCAGAGACAATATTTCTTCTTTATTTCCTTCTGTATATAGGCATATCAATAGTAGACTCAGCATGGGAACCCAAATAATACGTATTTATTGAGAATTATGCTGATGACTATGTAGTTAAAACAGCAGTAAGGAAAACATTGTACCATAAATGTCGTCCTTGGAGAGGACAGCAGTAGCAAAGTTTACTCCTCCCCACCCAAGCAGTCAAACATTAGCCAGACAAAATGCTACTGCTGTGGACTGCTGACAGAGTCAAGAACATGATAAAATCATCACACTTTGTGGATATAAAAAAACTGGCAAAGCCTTTCAAACTGAAACAAAAACCCAAGGCGCCTGTTATTTTAAACGACTGAAAGAAATGAAAGTTATGTAAGGAATAAAAGGATGGAGGGAAGCAAGGTGTGGAGCAAGAAAGTGAGGAAGAAACCGGTTGAGAGAAAGTGAGGTTTTGTTCTTCTCAAGAGCTTGAATATTGTTATTATATTCTACATGGAGCAAAGCCAGTTGCCAAGCAGGTGGCTGGAATTCACAATCCAGTTGAAAATACAGAAAAGCAATGGCTAGTGTTTTTGTTTTTAAAAAACATCTGAACTCACAAGCAATTTATATACTTAATGGTTTGATTTTTGTTCTACGTCCACTAATCCAGAAATTTTTTCCCTTGCTGCTTCATTCACCCTGCATTCTATCTTGTGCTTTCTTAAAGCCAAAGAGAGCAGATACTGTATTTTGCACATATTTTAGTCTTTTTACTTTGTTAAGATGAAGTAGCAACAACTTTAATTGTCCCAAGGTGTGCCTTGCCTTTACACCTTGGAATTTAGGTCCTGCAAAGATCTTGTACGTTTGTATTGATGGATTGGACCATCCTGGATTTCCTCTTCCTTCCCTGATTGTCAAGGGACTGTTAATGGCATTTATAAAAATATGTTCATGTAAGGAATTGAATGCAGAGTGCTAGGTTTCTATATTAAATACAACTATGATACTTGTAGGCACAATTTCTTAAAATATTACCTATACATTTTAAAATAACTAATAGAAAATAATAAGTAATGAATACACAAGTAAATTTGAAATTTCCTGAAACAACACTGTCAAGTGAGTAGAGAATAAAAATACACGACGAAATTGCAATTGTTCTTTGAAGAGTAAATGTAAATGATGAGGTTGAAAATAGTAATTTTTAATTTTATATTGCAGTCCCCTGGGCTACCGGAGTTTTCATCCATGAACCAGATTGATCTGGACGAGTGATACAATGAGTAATGCATTGTGCACCTGTTTGTAAAACTGCTGAGAAGAATTCTCACAAACTTTTATAATTTTGTAATTATAATTTTCTCTTTTTATGCTTTGAACAACCCACTGGCTAAGAAATCATTGGGTTTCATTATAAGAAGAAATAATGACACATAACCATGCTAATTTGGAATTCTGGTATAACATCCTAGCTTATAGAGCAGCTCAAATTGAGGATATTTTAAGGAAATCTTACTGCATAATTATTAAATACCAAGGAGGAAAATGCTAAAAAGGGAAATGACCATGAATAGTAGAGCCTCTTTTCAGTAGTTAAATGAATAATTAGGTTGTGCATTACACACAGACTTCTATTCAATTAGTATTATCAATTCAATTGTATTATATACTATAATCACAAATATTTACAATAATTATGGTTTGATTTTTCACAACTTGATAAATAATACAACTACACTGAGTTTGAGAGCAAAAAGAGTTATTGCAATAGGTATGAAGCATATTACAAAAATAAAAATTTGGAAAACAACTTAAATGATCTTATTTTTGGAAATGCATATGTTGTGGTTTGTAGTAAAATATAATAAGAAAATAATACACTTAAAGTTTTATAAATAGGTTTCTCTATTTTCTAACAACAATTTAAAGTATTGATTTATAGTTTTCAGAAATGATTATCTAAAATGTATCCATAAGAAAAACTGAAAATATGTTTTTGTATGGATGTAGATAATTTGGAAACCAAAAACTGAAAATATGTCTTTGTATGAATGGAAATAATTTGGAAACCAAAGTATTCCAGATTTAACTAATAATTAAGATTATGTTGAATAAATATATTTTCATAACTTATACCTAAATTTTAGCTACATAACCTCCAGGAAAATAGTGTCAAGTTTCCTCACTGTTGTAACCTGTGCAAGCAAAAATTTAGATTGCTTTGTATTGAAAAAGTGTATGAAGAGAAAAAAAGAGTTAAAATGACATCTGAAATTATTAGCAATTATAGCCACTACTTCTGTCATTAACATTTATAGAAGTATTGATCTACTCCGTAAGAACAAATGATAGTTTACAAATGCATAATATGGATTTAACACATTGAATTTGATTTTGAAAATAAACATTCAGATTTTATTTCTTTTCAAGGTATTCTTTCACCCAACAAAATATGAAAGTACTTATCACCAACTAGAGGGTTGCCAATGGAAAAATAAATCATTTTAAATAACACGTAAATTTGCTTCCAAAACAGTATCCCATATAAATATAAGCTAGGTACCAGGACAGATCTTCTGTGATGAACAAAGGCACTTCATTATTTAAACATCATTTTCTCACTCAGACGCTCACTCAACAGCAACATAAGGACAATGGCAGTGATGCACTTCACAATTATTTTGAAGGATGGCTGAATGGGCCAACCCACATGCCTGTCTTCAAATACTAACATTCCAGAAGTTGGCAATTCTTGAGTGCCCGTTAATGATGGCATGCTGCTGTCAATGCCTCCCTTCAAGCATCCTCATCCTCATTTAGGTCGTCTGAGGCATGGGAGGAGCTGGCAGGCAATGCCTGATGCTCACTCCGTCACACCTAACTCACCCTTATACGTCTTCCATTTGGTCCTGTCTTAATAAGCCTGCACAGATGCCAGCTGATTCATGTCTTTGAAAGCTGGCATCTTTTCCTAAGTTTCCAAAGCCAGATTATAGAGACAGACATTGTTTTTCTCAGGAGCACCCTCTTCACAGGTACATGGAAGAGTGATAATTAAGAATCATTTTTATTTAACACATTGGAGTAAAATTAGTAACACTGGAATGTGAATACTACGGTCCCATTGCAGTCACTGCTTGCAGGTTGCTTATGCACAGCATCTCCAGTTTCTGTAGCAACCTTTTTCACTAGGTGTGGCCTTCTCCATTTTACAGGTGAAGGTCAAAGAGGGGTCAAACAACTTTCTCAGGAGCACACATGAAGTAGGAAGTGAAAGTAAACTTTGGGAGTTGGACCCACTGGAAGTCTATTTTCACTGCACTACACCACATTTTTATCTCATACTTATAGCTGTGAATTAGCTCTTACTGACAGGGTTATCTGTTTGCTTTCTTACATACGAGTAAGCTATTATGTGAATTGATGTCAAACAACTGTGATTCAAAGGGTTTCCTTTCCAGCGTTCCCATTTCTGTGTTGATTGAGCTTCTAGAAGGGGTACATCTCAGTCCTGGCATTCAGTGCTGTCCACTGAGGATGAGCTGTAGTTCAGGAGATGGGAGGAGATGGCATTCCAGCAAGGAAGGAATCATTGAGCTGTGAAAATCATACATTGCATACAGTAGAAGTCGGAAGTTATTCTTCATTGCTGCTCTTTACAAATGATACATTTACTCCATGCCAATTATCAAGTGAAGTTTGCACATGATTTAAGGTAAATTGTTTATTTTTATATAATGCAATATATGATATAAAAATATCTTCCAGTGCATGGTCATTTGGTGTTCACACACTGAAAGATGGAGAGGAGGTGTCATCATACACATTTTTACAGATGAGGAAACACAAAACTATGGGATTACAGTTCCTAGGTATCAATTTATTTTAGTCAGATGTTTTGTGTTTAATACTGATGGGGTTATACTGCACATTGGTAAAGACCTCTGGCTGATTCTGCAGCTAGTCAACTTGGTTTCAAAGTTCAACCCACTGCTCCCTTTTGTGTGATTTTAGAAGTTACTAAAGTCCTCTCTGGTTTCCTCGTCTGCACAATAAATAACAACATCAATAAATGTTATTATTCATAGGTAGCTAGGATGACCAAGGAAAAGATTACATGTAAAACACTCACAATGAGTTTTGAATGTAGTGCTCAATGTTTGTTAGTCAATAAACTATAGTAGAAAATGGATTAAAAAACAAGACATATTCCTAGGCATCTAACAGTCCACCAGTTATTCTTCCTAATGCTTGTCTTTGTATTACTTTTATTTTTCTCCATTCCACTATCATTCAATTTAGAATACACACATCTATTAGAGGATTCTACTACAAGTATTCTTTTTAAACTACACTTTGCTAAGAAAATAAAAATATCCACCTTTGAAAACACGTAAACTCTTTGGATAGCATTCCATGCACTCAGTGATCATAATATAAACTCCAACTCTTCTGTAGTTCCACTTCTCCTCCTGTCTACTTCCTTGGTTCAGCCAACTCAGAGGAACTCTGAAGACTATACCTGCTCTAATTACTCCAGGTGGACATTTCTTCATTAATTGTTATTTGACAATGATGCCCATCCTTCAAACCCTGCAGGGAAGGTCAACTATTCACAATGCTTCTCTTGGTCCTCTTCAGATAATTTATCCCTAAATCTCTAACTTCTCGATTATGTACTCCATCCATGTTGCATATTCTTGACAATTTAGTAAGTTTTATCTTACATGGGAGATCATAAAGTTGGCATGCAGTATTGCATATACTGCTTTTCCAGACGATCACCATGGCAAATGATTTCAGACTTATCTATCCTTATGCAGCTCTACTAAGAGTCACACCTAAAAAACTCAATGATTGTGTTCCCTACTAGATTGCCTTCTTTACTGTCATTCCTAAAAGACTTGAAGTTCAGTACATAGATTGTACAGGCTCAGAAAAGTCTGCTATACTGAGAGCTAGCTTAGCTCATGGGAGAGAAAATAGAGTACAAATTTTATAAAGAAATATTTTAAGTAATTTGTACATTATGTTTTTGTTCACTGTTAAATATTGTGTCAGTTATATGTGACTATGAAGAGAGGGTACAAAAATATTTCAAAGAATAAACCACCATTAAGGAGCCTCCACATGTGGAGAGACGGTGGAAGGCGGGTGCAAAGGGCACATGCACCACACTATTATTAGGGAAAAGAAGGAGCAGATCAGCTGTGAACAACTTACTGCTTCAGAAACGAGGACCTTCTGGAAGGAACCCAAGAAAATGACAGAGTATGGAGCAAGTTGGGTCTGCTTGCCCTTCCTCTGAAGAATCCAAGGGCTTCTATACTAGGAGATACGGAACTGGTGGGTCTAGGGTGTGTCTGACATCTGTCATCTATACCAGTTATTTTTATTAACTGATTTATTTGAATGACAATTTAGATAAAGAAATTGTGTTCAATTTAAACAAATTTATTAATAAATGAATTGAGGTAATTCTAAATTCACACATATCCTCACATTTATTGAACAGGGGTACATCTCTAGCTACTGATACAATAGAGTCTTGTTTCACTACTTTATTTAAACCTTAAGAGATGGATGGGGCATAATACTTAAATATGTAATAAACTAGAATTAAGTTTTTAAAATTTCTTTTACTTAATTAACAACTTCTTGGCCAGGTTCTTTGTGTTAGACTACAAAGTATAGGAATGCCAGATGCGGCAGAGAAACCAGCTCACTTCAGGACATGCCGTTAGACAAACCCAAACTCAGTGTTTGAATTTTAACTGTTCATGATTCAGGGAATGTTAAGTTTCTTTGATTGATTTAGCTTCTCTCTAGAGTTGGAATCTGACGTGACTCATTCTTATAACTGAAATACTCATGAAAACTTCATGATAAGTTATTATTTTTTTTCTTTTACTGCCAAATCTTCAATAAATTGTTTGCCTTTAATAAAGATAATAGAAATCAGGATCATATTTTGCCATTTACTATGGTATTTTGAGGTTGAAGCAAACATATTCATGGGGTTTTTTAGAAGCCATAAAATTTGAGGAACACAAATTCCTAAAGGAAAAACAGAACAAGCTGATATGGTGGCTCTAGTGAGTATCCAGGTAATGTCAAAGACCTAACTTTATTAATGATTGATAATCACAGCCAAAGAGTCAGTTAGGTTATCTGAAAGTTTTTTGGAACAAAAAATAATGTGAAGCAGAAAAAGTAATACATCCATAATGTGGATTATTTTCCTTTAAAATTTCAAAGACATTGCTCTCCACATTTGTCTAGAGCCACATTTTAATTATCAAAAGAATTCAAAGTTAATTATGGAAAATATATATCATATAAATCTGTTTGTCAATGTGATGCATAGATTGGTGTGAGTATGAAAACAGATATAAAAAGCCATATTTCCAAACCAGCACACCAACCCTGTATTAGGAAAGTAAATAGACCTGGCAGAAGCATGAAGCTTAGTTCAGGGTTTTCTAGGAGTTGTTAATACTTAGATACATCACCAAGTTTCTGAAAAGTGAACTCAAACATAGAGAAGTAAAATGGAAAAAATATCTATCAAATTGAGTGGGATAAAAAACTATTATAAATATCTTATTGAACTAATAAAGCACTTGTATTTGTACTATTTTGAATTCACTTTAATGAAAAATTAAGTAATTTTAAAAATAACTTGAACATTTTGCAGTATATCATTCTTTACCTACATGTGTCATTTCTTTCTGACTGTGGGTCAAATGTTGGTATTCAGGGCACAAGGTCTGATGGACCTGGACACTAAATAGAGTTTTCATATCTCGATAGCTTTCAATTCTGGCTTTCGTACAGGCACCTCCAGGGGCCTCCAAAGAATATATCTCAACTCTGCTGGAGTCCAGTAGCCCACAATCTCGTGCCTAGAGGTCACTTCCATGGACCACAGGAGGCTTCTGAGATGCTGCCTCCCCATCATCATTTTCTTCCTCACCAGTGAATCACTGAAAATATGTTGCTAAATAGTTTCAGAAATCATTGTGTGAAATGGTTTTTGCTTTCCTATGAAGTTGTTGTGTAATATATATCTTGTAGCAAAAAATAATGTGAAGCAGAAAAAGTAATACATCCATAATGTGGATTATTTTCCTTTAAAATTTCAAAGACATTGCTCTCCAAATTTGTTTAGAGCCACATTTTAATTATTATATTATATATATTACATATATATGTATATATAGGCTTTCCATCCTTGTCACACACTTAATTTCATTTTGTGTTTCTCAAAAAAGTTTGCATTAGTGGATTTCTGGTGCAAATATCTGTAAAGCAGAGGGTCATCAGATCAATGGCATCAGGGATGCCATCAGCTCACTGAGTGAGGTGGTGAAGATAGATGTCTTGTGGCCCACTACAGGACACATGAATGCTAAATCATTGCTTAGCTGATTTTCCTGTCTTAACGGCTCTGATAAATAAAAAGTTGCACGTGTCTTTCATACTGCTTGAGATTATTAGTTAAAAGTGAAAGGGATCCTATGAAGATTTCTAAAGAGAGAAAGCAACATGTTATATGGCTAATCACTTCCAAAAATAATCTTCAGGGTACGGATTTCGAGCCAAATAGTATAAAAGTAAGCAACTAATAAGTAAATAAGCCAAGCCAAATTAAAAAGGCTAAATTTTATCCCAAGTACAGTAGCATAATAATGAAAAATAATCTTTATTTGTCATCATTCATACATTTTTTTCTATTCACCAATTAATCAAATTCATGGAAATGATTTTTATAGGTGAAATTTTAAAGTATACAGTATTCAGAAGTGCTATGATAACTCTTTGACTTATCTATTATAAAATTATTATACTTTCTATTTTCCATTTTTAAAACACATATGAAACTGAATTGCTGATGGAAATATATGACAGTAATTTGGTTTGCAAAGTTGGCTTGAGTTGCAAGGTCCAAATCGTGGTAGAAGATACTGCTTTGCTACTTGGAGGACAGAACTGTTTGAAGCTATGTAATTCAATATTTTTGACAATGCTGGTAAGCAGATTTAAAGTAGTTCTGGCACCTAAAATTTATGTGCAAGAATACACATTAAATGATTTAAAAAATATCCACTCACTAAATCAACCTTTATGGGGTATGTGTATACAATTCAACAGCAGTTTACTGTAATACGATTTTATTATATTTGTATGAAACACATCATCATCACTAAGCTTTCAGGTATCATAGTCTGTCTGAGTATCAGAATAATTCATAATGGTATAATTTAGGCCATAAAAGGATTTGTTATTTTAAAGAATTTATAAAAGACTTTAATAATCTAAAAGGAGGAAATATTCCATAAAATTTTAGAAATCAAGTATTTTGGGAAGTAAACCTCACTACTAGAGGACACTGTATTCCCTAAACTGTGGAAATCATGGATAGAAAGTGTGCACTTGAGTAAGTCAGTTTTGTACCACTCTAGTAGAAGAAAACATTTCTCTTAACTCAAGTTAGGAAATATTATACATTTTATATATCTTTATATAAAAAGTTACAAGTAGCAAGCATAAGACACAAAGAAACAGAAGAGTAACAGCAGTATTTGAGAATGCATGCTTTTTACAATGTGTCTAATAAAAAGGATATTTTCCCAACTCAAATATCCAGTACGGACATGCAGGGTATTTTCTCAAACTGTCAATTCAGTCATATTGCTAAGTGCTTAAAATCAAAAACATTTCTATAGTAGGGTATGAATGGCAAATACCTGATTTCAAAAACTACTTCTGAAATTCGGTATCTTCCTTGATAGAAAACAAAAAGGAAATTTGGAGAATATAGGAAAGACCAAAAAATGAGATTTTTTTTCTTATTGCAATCTAGTAAGTTTACTCATTACTTTTTGCTGCATTTAATCATAATATAACAATAGATGTGTATAGTCCATAAAACCTCTAGCTGGTGTTTCCATGGTCCACATTTTCACTTTTCACTGTAGTATGTTCAAAATCACTCAGGAACGCACTATTCTCAAGCAGTCTATATAATGAAAACAATGTACATACAACACAGGTTCATCCAAAGTTATGTGTTTTTTTTTCACATTTCACACAATGTACAATTATATAACAAAGACATGGAACAACATAAAAACAAAAGTGAAACCGACAGTAAAAATAAAGTTGGGATAGTCTTAATCAGGAACTAATTTCTTCTTCAAGTTTCCAGTAAATCTCAAAATGTATTTAAAAACTAAGGAGCACTTGGTGGCCAGCAACCAAATTACGAAATGAACATGTCACTGTGCAGCGGGGATGTCTTGCCGAAGGAATAACAAATGTCTGTAATTCTTAAGTTTGGATAAAGGCAGTGGAATGAATTTAGAAATATGTCCACTTTTCACAATTCACTATAGAATTTTCTTTTCACAGTCCCCATGTTTGTATAAATAGTTCTTCTCTGAAAATAAAACACAGATAAAACATTTTCTCCCAATGGAAAAATGCATACAAATACACCAGTTTATCAAGGTAATATAGAGCACAAAAATGCATTCACCTAATTCAATAATGGTTGATAGACTTGAAGAGTTTTGAAGAGATAGCTGTCAAGCAAATTGAACTGGAGACAAATTAAGCTAATCTATAAATAGACTTACAGGTGCAAAAGGTAAAGCCATTGTGATACCCAATGACAAAATGGATGCACACATAGACAACTGCTAATGATGGGACTGTTTTACCTTATCAAGCATTCAAATTTTATACTATAAAGTTTGACATGACATGCTGCATTTGATTTTGATGACTTACACTACTTATCCATGCAAAAATAAAAGGGCATCAATTGTGTCAGCATGACCAAATACTTAGTGTTTGAGTAGAGTGCTGCCAAATTATATCAGTAATCATCAATTTTACATACTGATTTCAGTTATATTGAGACTGAATATACTATTTCTTATTTTTGACAATCTTGTGTTTTTCCCCCAGGATTTGTTTGAAGAGAGTTTGTTTAATTTAGTATCTTTACCTCAAAACGTGTAAAATTCGGCTTACTAATTTGACATCCGTTTTAATACATTTAAGTGAAATTTTTGATGATAGGACTGCTAACATTTATTTAAAAGACATGTTTTCTAAGAATAATCTCTCCAAAAGCACTGAATCAATTGTATTTCTAGTTATGAAACGATACGGGACACAGATTTCAAGAAATAATGGATAAATACAACATTCCCTAAAACACTACAAGACAATTGCAACAAAACAAAACAAAACAAAATACAGCAAAGTGGGGGAAGGAACCAAGGGCATTTGCTTACCTTGAATTTTCTTTTTAGACCCTAGTTGTGTTGTATTCAGATTCATGTTTGCTTAGAGACCCAATGAGGCAGAACCTGGAATGTTATGGCTATTTCATTCAACAAAGTAATATTTGCACAGAAAATAAACAAATGCACACAACTATTTTCTTTAAATGCATTCCTGAAACTCATGAAACTAAGGAAATAGACCAGCATGCAAAATGTATTATATCAACTAAAATTATTTTAGTTTCTGAGAATGCATAATGAATGGAGAAATTATGTAAATTTATGAAAGAAACTAAATGCTAGTACACATGCAAAACAAAGCATAAGTAGACTGGAGTTTGGAATTTGAAATTTTTTTCCTATATTTAAATTTTCTCAAAACTTTTACAAATTTTAGGGAGGAAAATAAATATTTTTACTTATTCTTGCTACATTTATATATAAACATTTTGTTTTATAGCATACCATGCTATCATATGCAATTTCAAATACAAGTATAATGTGATATGTGGAATAAAAGTATTTCCATTGTCATACCAAAAAATAAATACACTGTATTGCAAAATATATTATTTTTGCATAAAATTATTCAACAAGATGGGTTGCCCACCTTGGTAAGGCAATTTTTCCCAAATACAATCATTTCATATTAAAAATATGTAAATATTAATGGGCATGAAATTCATGACCACATAGAAGCAATTTAGCAATACGAATCTATATTATTAATTAAATATCATTAGTTTTGTATAAATAATGATTTGCATACATGTAGAAATAAATGAGATATCTTTGGTCTGTGTGTGCATGTGTGTTCACACGTATCATGCACACAAATTGGATTTAGGAATAGTACGGGTAGCACTGGAAAGGAAAAACGAGAGGGAAAAATTGAGACTGTGGTTTAGATCATTAATTAAAGGGAAACTGAACTATGAAGACAAAATAGAACACAAGATTCTGGAAGCATTCCAGTCCTCAGGTTATAGTTGTCATCAAAAAATCTATTGATACTGACCGCTGGACGGCTTTGTCGTGCCGGGACAGCCTATGACTCGTGGTGGGCACCTCCTCGATCTCATCGATGTCACAGGCATCTGCAGCATCTTGCGAGTAGTTGTGTTTCATGACAAGGATGTTTCTTCTGCTCATGGGGGGGATGAGGGGTTTGACGGGCTGTGGCGGCATTTCTGTCAGGACGGAAGCATCTCTTGTGCTGAGGTTACTGCGGCTGCCTTTAGTGCTGGACAGTTGTGATCCACAGTGATGGTCGTGAATGCATTTGGAAGATGACCTCCGCAGCTTATGGTAGTTATCAAAGTCTTCTGCCACGTCAGCAAAGTCAGCGGTAGCTCCTGTCCCTCTCAGAGTGCATAACTCATAATGCGGGGGCTCAAACACCTCCTGGAAGACGGTCTGGTCGAAGTCTGACTTCCTTTGCACATACTTTTTACGCGGCTGTTTGATCTGTACAATCACCGAGATGATGATGAGGATGATCACAATGCAGGAAGTCACACCTATCACAGTCCCGCTGGTGTTGGTCAGCTGATCCAGGAGGCTGGTTTTCCTCTTCTCTGCAGATGGACAGAGCCGAAACCACAAAGCAAGCAAGAAACAACCCAGCACACATCAGTAGTGTAGTCAAATATTCACTGCAAACTTTAAATGAAATTAGATGAGAACAGAATTTTTATAGGTTTAAAGTAGCACAACAAAATATTTTAAAACAAGCAAAAAAAATCTCAGTTTTCGCAGGGGATCCATTTTCTAGTTGCTAAAATAGTGTTCCCATTGCCAATGTCCCCTATGCATAATGTATAATCCAATATATAATATATCACACTAAAGATATTATATTTCTTCAAATGTATTTATTATTAAACATGCATTATGGAATATAATTTTCTAATATCTTTAGCATGAGATTAGAGAATAAACTAGCCATATTATAGACACTAAATTCAATTCTACTCATAATTGTAAGAAAATCTCTAAACTCCACTACTGGAACATGACAAATAAACTATGTATATAAATATACGTGCATATATACATATTTTTTCTGCATCTCTCAATGGCAAGGATAAATGAAGCCAATTTAACAATTATACTGTAATACCAGAATGTAATTCAATTCAAATTAATGACAGGCACTTTTGGAATGGTAGCATGCGGACCATGTGCACATGTTTCCCCACAACCGGTGAAAATTATTTTAAAAGTCTACCATTTAAGGTCTGGTTTAATAAAACTATGGGGACTGCCCCAATGGTTTGTAGCAAAAGGAGATATGTTTATATAAACAAGTTATCAATTTGCTTAGGGTTCATGACTGTTGAGACTGCTCAGTCTTTATGTGTGCCTTGTAACCTCAGTTCATCCTGATGGAACTCTGCTCAGGGAGGTTATATGAAACAATACATGGGATCCTCTTCATAATTTAAGTCATGGAAAAGAAATTATGCTATCTGAAGAGAAGCAAGAATTAAAAAGAATTAACAGAGTCTTAGAAAAATGTGGCAAATTATCAAGCATACCAAAATGCTATGGGAGTGCAAGACAGACACGACAGAGAGGGAAAATTCTCTAAACAAAATAGACAAAAAATTCTCTAAACAGGCCGGCACCATGGCTCACTAGGCTAATCCTCCACTTGCAGCGCTGGCACCCGGGGTTCTAGTCCCGGTTAGGGCACTGGATTCTGTCCCAGTTGCTCCTCTTCCAGTCCAGCTCTTTGTTGTGGCCCGGGAGGGCAGTGGAGGGTGGCCCAACTCCTTGGGCCCTGCACCCGCATGGGAGACCAGGAGGAAGCACCTGGCTCCTGGCTTTGGATCAACGCAGCGCTGGCCGTAGCGGCCATTTGGGGGGTGAACCAACGGAAGGAAGACCTTTCTCTCTGTCTTTCTCTCTCTCACTGTCTAACTCTGCCTGTCAAAAAAAAAAAAAAAAAAAGATTAAAAAATTCTCTAAACAAAATTCAAAATTCTCCAAACTTCCCAAACCTACCAAACCCAGGAGCATTTCATGTTCAAGTTTAACAAATTCCAAGTAACATAAATGCAAAGAGACACACACTTGGATATATAATATTAAACATGTTTTTAAAAAAGGAAAAGAGAGAAAAGGCTTAAATAAAAAAGGATAAAGCAACTTATCACATAGAAAGGAGCCCCAATGAGATTAACATCTGATTTGTCATAGGTGGGGGTCAGAAGGCACTGTGATGATATAGTCAAAGTAGTGCAACTGAGAACAAAACTAACTGAAAAGAATAAAAACATGTCAAGCAACACTAGCAACCAGCAAAATGACTTTTAAAATTGATCCAAAAGGGCCTGTGCTGTGGCATAGTTGGCTAAGCCTCTACCAGAGGCACTGGCATCCTATATGGGTGCCAGTTCATGTCCTGGCTGCTCGTCTTCTGATGCAGCTCTCTGTTAATGGCATGAGAAAGCAGTAGAAGATGGCCCAAGTGCTTGAGTGCCCACACTTGTGTTGGAGATCTGGAAGAAACTCCTGGCTCTTGGGTTCTGAATGGCCCAGCTCCAGCCGTTGTGGCCATTTGGTGAGTGACCCAGGGGATGCAAGACCTCTCTGTCTCTCCCTCTCTGTCTGTAACTCTGCCTCTCAAATAAATAAATAAATAAATCTTTAAAAATTTTATCTAAATACATTGACAGATTAAAAAAAGTGAAACAATTGCCAATCCAGAAAAAGCTGCCTTAAAAGAAATATTGAAGAAAATTGTTTCAGTTGAAGATAGTTGACTTTAGATAGTAACAAATACATATGAAAAAAAATAAACAAGCAATAAATTAAACAGGAAAGTAAATAAAGCCAACAAATATAATTACGTAAATAATGAAAGATAACAATTGCACAATTCTTTTATTTTCTTTACTTGACTTTTTAAAAAGGAATTTGATAAGTATACTTTATTTTTGGAACTACAACTTATAGAAATGTAATATGAAAGGTCTTCAAAAAGTTCACAGAAGATGTGTATTATAAAAAAAAAGTTATGTATGGCTTTCAAACATTTTAGGCAACCAAATAAACTTTCATTGTCATCTTCCTGTGAGTTTTTTAAAGTATCTGCATATATTTGGTAGAAACAATGCAAACCAGGTAAGTGGTGGCACAACTGTTATTGGAGTAAGAGGATGATACCAGAGGGTAAAGTAAATCTACAAAACCAAAGACTACAACCAGGACTGCAGGACAAAGTTATCAATACATGCTTGCGCATTTTTTGCTCTCTGAACTTCTTTAAAAGACACTAAATTATATGAAGTGATAATTTATTTTTACTTATTTTTTTTAACATGTAGAGGTAATGTACGAAAACAATAGGAAAAAAGAAAATAGAGCTATGTGGGAATATAATGTTTTATATCTCGCTAGAATTAGGTTAGTATAAATCTGAAATATATTCTGAGAAGTTAAGCTATATTTTATAGGTCCTGTATAATCTAAGAAAGTAATTAAAATAGATTAAAAACCACTAAAAGTGGGGTGGGCGTTAGGAACAGAGGTTCAGACAGTGTCTGGAATGCCTGCATCCTGCATTATAGCTCCTAAGTTCAAAACCCAGCTCTGACTGTGGTTACAGGGCCTTGCAAACACACAGCCCAGGAGGCAGCCCATGATGACTCAAGTACCTGGGTTCCTGTTACCTACAGTGAAACCGGGATTGAGATTGGGCCCAGTGCCTGGATTATTATTGCAGGCATTTAGGGAGTGAACCAAGAGATGGAAGGTCTGTCTCTATTTCTGTCTTTCTGCCTTTCAAATAAAATGGAAGTAACTAAAATAAAAATGTTTTCAAAACACCAAAAGTATTACAATGTTACAATAGAATATATCACTTAAATTAGTGGACAGGAACAAAAGAAGAAAAGAGGAAAACTGCATGAAACATAGAAAGAAGTACCATCATAATAACAGCATGAAATGTGAATGGATTAAACAACCAATCAGAAGACAGAGATTGTTAGACTTTATAAAAAATAAGATGCAACTATGCACAGTTGTAGGAGAAATACCTTCTATTCAAATATACCGGTAGACTGAAAAACGGAGAATGGAAACTAGTGTAGAAATAAAAGTCACAAGTAAGCTAAAGTGGCAACTCTAGGATCAAATAAATGTGTTTTTAGCCAAAAGTTACTAAACATTAAAATATCATTTAAGATATAGCCATTATAATAACACATGGGCTTAATAACACGTTGAAAATACAATGATATATAAACTTTACAGAATCGATGAGAGAAAAAGACAATTTAATCTTAAGAGTAAATTGATTGTCATTTCAATAATGGATACAATATGGCATACGATCAAAAAAAATACAGAAGAATTGAATAACATGTCCTATAAAACCACTAGCTATAATAGGATCTACAGAGCAATCACCTAACAGAAAATACATTCTTTACAAGGAAACAGGGGATAAACACCATGTGCTGCACCATAAAACTAACTCACAGTAACCTGTGTGACTGAAACTACAGTAAGCATGTTTTCCTATTAAAAAAACATGAATGAGAAATCAAGAAACCAGTCTTGCCTTCTGGAGAAAATGAACATGGACTTTCATAAGGTACATGCATTTGCATTTTATTAAAGGCTGACTCATGTCAAATATTTAGAACATGCCATGGGAACAAATGCCCAGTGGACAAACAAAGCCAATGGCATTACCGGTGCTGTTTCATGATAATTCAGAGAGCACTTAATTTATTCCCTATCTATTCAGAAGAGGTTCTTTGGGCAGAGAAATGGTGATCACCAGTGCCCCATCAGCACAGTAGCTGATCCTAGACCTCCTTTCCTTACTGACTTATGAAACAACAGCTACTTTGACAATGCTTCTCTGTTCCATCCACAGGCATTTTAATAGATAATATTGAACTTCAAGCAAGAAAGAGTTTTTAGTCTATTTATCTTCCTTTGTAAGTTATTTAATAATGGATCAAAATAAGAGTTTATATGGTACTTTCAATTTAACTAAAACATGCAATATTTATACCCCCGCCAAGGATCCCTGTCTACATAAACAAAGGGAACAGGGACATTGGGAGTTATTTTCACTGGGAAGAAAGAGCAGTATTTTCATAGCAAAACTGAAGTGGATCTCAGTGGCTGAACATAATTGAAAGCACAAGTGTTCCTTCAATATATTTTATTTCTAGCTTAGGTGCACAAAGTCCAATGAAGACAAACTGGAAAAAATGAGAGGTGTAGCCAAGGATTAAGGGATATCAAGTATGATCGGGATGTAATGCACTCCAATAAAAGCCTCAATTCTCCCTCCATGGCACGGCAGGCTGACTTAAGTGGATGTCTTCAGTGAGTGTTCAAGTGTTAAGGACAGCCCATTGTGCATTCATGAATGAGGACACCTCTGGAGACAGCATGAATAAAGGCAAAGACAAACGCTTGCAAATCAATCACAAGACACACACGGAGCTCAGGAGAGTCACCACACATTCAGTTTTTAGGAGTTTCTGATGCACATAAATTTCGCTCACATTCCACAGGCTGGGGACTTTGCAAAGTTCAAGCACTAATCATTACCTTTACAGTGATTTTCATCCCACGGGTACACACAGTTCTGGAGTCCATTGCAGACCAAGGTGTTGTTAATGCACATGTTACTGTGGCAGAAGAACGTATTGCCTTCACAAGGAGCTGAATACAAGAGAACAAGACAAAGAACTCCATAAGTGATGCTCAGCTGTCAGTCAGTCACAATACAAATCTGAAAATAAAATGACGGATAACAATTTGCCATGAAATTGGTACACATGGCCTGTCACGTGATTCACAGAAGTACTGCCATAGTGGTAATTATTTCTAGAGAGGCTCAGCTATGAAAATAGTACAAGGTGTCTCCCATCATTAAAATGCAGTACATTCTTCACATGGGCTTCTTTTGTTGCATTCATTTAGCAAGCTTAGTGTCAACCATATGTATAAATTATGCTTCAGACCGAAATTCTCTATGTACATGTGTGCTTTCATTGCATGGAAACAATTAAAATATTCAGATAATTACAAAAATATACTTATCAAGTACTAATTTTTTTAATTGTAAACCAAGCCCTATAACATCACAGAAGCATAGGAAAAATAAAGAATGCCATGGAAATTCAGAACCAGCGGAAAATCATCCCTGAGCAACCTAAGGCGCATGTCATCTTATTCATATTTAATATGCATTGTGGTGATGTAATTAGTTGACTGGGGTGCATTCACCGTTAGTGAGGATACACACTGGTGGTGGTCTCCAGATCCAATGCAAATGCAGGCACTGGGAGCTAAATCAGATCTCCAACAAGGTATCAAATCGGGATAGATGATTATGAAACATGTGAGAAGTTTAATACAGCAAAGAAAATGCTGTAAGATTTCAAAATTAAGAGTAATAAATTTTTTACTGTTAGAGTCATAGCACAATTAAAACAATGTCTACAGCAATACTGTGCAGAGAATGATAGTTTACAGATGGCGCTTTAATGCTAACTTGTTTTACTTTTATAGTAACACCACATACCTCATATTAGTCATGCTGTACACCTCATATTCCTCATAAAATGTAATTTTAGTTTTACATTCTTTCAGTAATAGTTCTGCAACCCCTGTATGGGTGGAAATTCTAGAAAAACTTATATAACATTATATTTAAATTATCCGAGAAACTCCATAAATACATTAAAAAATACTTGAAAAAGTTTATGGAAAATAAAATTTAAAAATACTTATATTTTTGTACAAAATAATTTTGAAATCCACTCACAGTTTTTTTATTTTTTATTTTTATTTTTTGACAGGCAGAGTGGACAGTGAGAGAGACAGAGAAAGGTCTTCCTTTTGCCGCTGGTTCACCCTCCAATGGCCGCCGCGGCTGGCGTGCTGCGGCCAGCGCACCGCACTGATACAAAGCCAGGAGCCAGGTGCTTATCCTGGTCTCCCATGGGGTACAGGGCCCAAGCACTTGGGCCATCCTCCACTGCACTCCCTGGCCACAGCAGAGAGCTGGCCTGGAAGAGGGGCAACCGGAACAGAATCCGGTGCCCCGATTGGGACTAGAACCCGGTGCGCCGGCGCCGCAAGGTGGAGGATTAGCCTAATGAGCCGCGGCGCTGGCCTTATGCACAGTTTTTATATAGAATACATTCCTATGAACTTTTTGAAGATGACTCATATATATGTAAATAAATATATGTATCTATAGATACACAAACACACATATCCACAAACAGATTTATAATTAGGGAGAACTCATGACTTTTCATGGAAAGGATACTAAATCTTAAAGCAAAAATTTTATTTGCTTTTTCATATTTTTAAAAATAAATATATTTGCTTGAGTGGTACAGAGAGACACAGACAAGGAGAAAAAGCAGAGAGAGCAAGAGAGAGAGAGAGAGAGAGAGAGAGAGAGAATTAATCTCCTATTTTATTCCCCAAATACCTGTTTAAGGCCAGTGCTAGGTTGGATTGCAGAGGGAGCCTAGAACTCAGTCCAGGGCTCCCACATAGATGGCAGAAACCTGCCAGGTTCTGTATTAGCAGGAAAGAGTCAGGAGCCGGAACTGGGTTTCAAACCCAGACACTAGGAACAGGACATGAGTGTTTTAAACACTAGACTAAAATTCAGGTGAATGGGAGATCTTCAAAAAGTTCATGCAAAAATGTATGATGATGCAACTATGCTTGGGTTTCATACTTTGGTAAATAAAAAATAGTGAATGAACCTAGAAAGTATTTTCTGAGTATGGCTTTACTGTGCTTTTGGGTTCTGTTTTTCAATTCTCATCTGTTCCCCCTGTGGCCACAAGGTGGGGTGCTTGCCCCAGAATTTAGTGAAAGAAATTCTTCCTCAGGGTGCTTAAAACCAGGCAGGCATCTGGAAACGGATGTTTACATCTATAGATCACCGCAGCGTTGCCAGGGGACAGCCAAGATAATTTCGAGAAATGTGAATAGGTTAAGGGAGGGCAAAGAAATATTGATAGCCACACACTTAAAATAAAGGAAGTTTTATATAACATGTTTAATAAGGGTTTATAAAACACCAGTTTCATAAAATAACAAGTCTAGCTATGGATGTGCCATTGCTCATCAGGTTTGTCTCACACGTTAATAAATATCATTTCAACGTTGAAGTTAGAAGGTTTTAATTTATAATTGCTATTTTAATTCTGAAGCCACTAACATTCATTCTCTTAGGATTAATTCTCTTTCTTTGGAACCTAAAAGGCCACTAGATATTATTCCAGAAATATTAAGCCAAAATTGAAACAAAAACTGTCAGATTTCTCTTGGAAGCACAGATATTTCAAATACCTGTGCTTATATTTAATAAATCCATCATCAGTAGCTGAGTTCAAAGTCAAAAGAGTCATCACACTGCATCAAGAATACCTGAAAATCCTGATGCTTATTCATATTCTCCTTAAAAATCAGGATATTGGGGCCAGCGTTGTGGCATCGTGGGTAAAGCCACCTGCTACAATGCTGGCATCTAATATGGAAGCTAGTGTGTGTCCTGGCTGCTCAGCTTCTGATCCAGCTCCCTTTTAATGGCCTGGGAAAGGCAGTGGAAGATGGCCCAAGTGCTTGGCTCCCTGCTACCCATGTTGGAGACCTGGAAGAAGCTCCTGGCTCCTGACTTCAACCTGGCCAGTCTCAGCTGTTGAGGCCAACTGTGGAATGAACCAGCGGAGGGAAGGTATCTCTGTCTCTCCCTCTCTCTGTACTCTGCCTTTCAAATAAGTAAATCCCAAGGAAAGTCTGTAAACATCTGGTGCATGCTAAGTTCTTTGGTCAGAGGAGCTCTCCTCACTCCAGCATCATCTGTCCATTTTCACCACAGCTTCTCTCAGCTTCTGCTTCTCAGGTCTTCATTTGACTTCCTTGGCTCAGCTCTATCTTCGTGCCACTGCCACCACTTTCATTCATGGGTCTCCCACACTTACAACGTGACCACAGGGAACTCTATCATTTAAAAGTGAAAATAAGACTGTGCTCCACCATGTTCAAAACACGTCAAAATCTCCTTTCCAAAACAAAGTCTACACACACACACACAAGGAGAGACAGTGAGAGATGGAGAAATACAGAGTCAGACAACAAGATGTCTCCTATTACTTGGTTCACTGCACAAATGGACACAACAGCCAGAGCTAAGGCGGGCAGAAGCCAGGAACCAGGAGCTCTATCAGATTTGCTGTAATGGTGGCAGAAATCCAACCATTGAACTACCACTTGCTGGCACTCAACATGTGCATTTGCAGGAAGCTGGAATCAGGAATGGAGCTGGGTCTTGAACAATGACAAGGGATGCAAGTGTCCCCATTGACAGGTTAGCCACTGCACAAGACTTATGCCCTGGTGCAAAATTTTCTTAATATTCATTTTCCACGGGCTGTTAAAAGACCATGTGTCTGGCTGGCGCCGTGGCTCACTAGGCTAATCCTCCACCTGCGGCGCCGGCACCCCAGGTTGTAGTCCCGGTGGGGGTGCCGGTTCTGTCCCGGTTGCCCCTCTTCCAGGCCAGCTCTCTGCTGTGGCACAGGAGTGTAGTGGAGGATGGCCCAAGTGCTTGGGCCCTGCACCCACATGGGAGACCAGGAGGAAGCACCTGGCTCCTGGCTTCGGATCAGCACAGCGTACTGGCAAAGCGGCCATTTGGGGAGTGAACCAATCTCTCTCTCACTGTCTAATTCTGCCCGTCCAAAAAACAAAACAAAACAAAACAAAACAAAACAAAATAAAAAAAACAAAAACCATGTATCAGAATAACTGTTTTTTAAGCAGCAGAATGGATGTTAAATGCCATCTTTTCACTGAAGTCTAAAGACTTTAATTCCTAAGGAATAATAAAACATTTAAAATGAAGTTTAAGTTTATGGAAGAAAATAACTAAAACATTAGATATCAATTTTGTGATCATCTAATCATGGATTAAAAATTTGAAAACTGGATTAGACAATTTAAAGCTTGCTGCCAATCATCACTTTCATTTGTGCTATTCCAATTAAAGAAAAAGGAATGTAAAACCAAATTTCCCCCAATTCAAATGCTTGCATTTTTTTCTCAAAATTAATGGAAAAATTTCCCTTACCACAGTACTTTAAACAAAATGGCCCTTAGGCTATGAAACTAGAAGAAATGACATTTTATTTGAAAAATGCTGGCCAGAATTGAGGCCAGAAATAGATTTGTTCATCTTCTCTTCATGTCCTTTATCATCTTCATATTTGTTCTCAAAAATCAATGTTTCCAAAACTCTCTGTTCTGAAGTGACCAAGTTATCAGTCAAAAGTATTGAGTATTTTCAAGTCAGATCTATCTTCATCTTTTTTTAATCTAAGAAATTCAGTTTCCAAATTTCAATTTAATCATATACACATTTATTAGATTCTTCACCAACATTCGTGCTAAAATTGCAAATGTCCACTGTTCCAAAAGATATTGTATTAAAAAAAGAGAAATTCATGTTTTGCTCCATTCCACACAAGCCACCCACCCATGACTGTATGAGATGATGCTCTCTCCCGAGCTTCCGCTCAGGATGGGGGCCAGTGTCCCTGATCCTCTGGAGGCTCCACACTCCTCTGCATGGCACGCACTGGACCTCACAAACGAGCCTTTTTGTTACGTGTTGAACATTTTTTGACACTTCCCATGGTTGAGCACAGCCAACACAGCCATAAATTTGGCTATTTCTTTACACTATACTTTTGAAGTTGTCGCTCCCCCTCTTCGTGGAGGAGCAACACAGGACCCTGCGCTGTTCTTTCGTCTGCTCGGCCCTCCCCGGGTTTGCTGCTGGTTCTTCCCGGGTTGGCTACTATCCCTTCCACCTCCGTGGAAGGGCAGTTCCCCCTGCCACATTCCCCACTTCCGCAGGGGAGCGGCACACCGCCGGCCGGCTCTCTGGGGGCTGCACGGGTTCCCTTAGATGTTCCCCATAGATGTTCCTGGTGCATGCCGTCTCTCTCCTCCTTTATAGTCCTCCTCCGCCAATCCCAACTCGGCTGAGTACGCTGCTCTCCAATCAGGAGCAAGTCCTACAGTTAATTGGTTGAACTGGAGGCAGCTGTGCGGAAGCTGTTTACTTCTCTCCCAGCGCCATATTGTGGGAGAGCAGATGCATAGAATAAGTCCTAATTCGAGTAACTTAGTCTAGTCCGGATTGCTCCCCACAGAAGTCACCTCTTTTTTTTTAAGATTTATTTACTGATTTGAAAGGCAGTTACAGAGAGGGAGGAGGGAGGGAGGGAGGGAGGGAGGGAGGGAGGGAGAGAGGTCGTCCATCTGCTGGTTCATTCCCCAGATGCTGCGGTGGCTAGAGGTGGGCTGATCTGAAGCCAGGAGCCAGGAGCTTCTTCCTGGTCTCCCCACATGGGTGAAGGGGCCCAAGCACTGGGGCCATCTTCCACTGTCTTCCCAGGTGTATTAGCAGGGAGCTGGATCTGAAGTGCAGCAACAGGGAGTCGAACAGATGCTGGCACTGCAGGTGGTGGCTTTATCTGTTATGCCAGGGTGCTGGCGCCCACCTCTTACTGTTAAGATCTTTTCCAGAGGATGGTGGGAGTTTTCAAAATCATTCAATCTTAATTCCTTTTTGTTTGACAATTCCTCCCTCACATGTGACTATAAGCAACAAGAAACCAGGCTATACCTTCAACATGGAACTCAGTGATTTCCTGAGCTATGTGGCTGAGAGCCATCTCTTAGCACTCTGCTGCTGCATACCTGCTGGACATAATTTCATTACACTTTCTGCCACAACACAACAAGGATACTCATTCTTCTAGTTTCTAATAACATATTCCTCATTTTTATCTGAGCTCTTGCTGGAAGCCATCCAAACCTAGATTTCTATTAAGTCTAGACTTCTAGTAACCATCTGTCTCAGGTAATTTAGGCTTTTTTTCTCTCACATTCCTCAAAAGTCCTCCAATCACTGCTTACTGCCTAATCCCAAACTGCTCCAAATCTTCATGTATTTGTAACAGCAGAGCCTCATTTTCGGTGCCCAGATTTGCAGTTTTCTGTCACTGTGTAACGAGTCCCTGCAAGGTTGGTATCTTTAAACAACAGATTTATTTGCACAAAGTTTCACAGGGGAAAAGCCTGGGACCCGGGTCCAGGTGTAATTGAGGTGGTAGCAGGGGCTGAGGCTTCCACCTCCCAGATTATTCAGCTGGTGGGCAGGACACAGCTCCCTGCCATTGTGTGGGAGACGTCCTCATTTTGCTGCTAGTTGTTGGCCAGGGTTGCCCTCAGCTCCAGGAGGTTACACCACTAATGGGAAGACCATTCACAATGTGGCCGCTTGTGTTGCTCCTCCGACCAGTCTCTGATGATCTCTCTTGTTCAGAGCAACCTTCTGATTAGGGCAGATTCACCCCATATCATCTTCCCTCTGATAAACTCAACAGAATCGAGTATCTTATTCACTCCTGCAAAATAGTTTTCCCATAAAAATAAGTTAATCACCTGATGATGTCCCATGTTATTCACAGGTTCTGCTCATCTCAGAGTGGACACTGCATCAGGCTTGTACACAGGAGGTGGAACCTAGCATTTCATCCAAGAACTGCCTTCCACGGAATAGTTCAGCTCAATTCCTCTTGGCATATAAAGGTTTTCACTTGCAAATTTCTTTATCATAAATAAGTCTATAGCTTAGGCTCATAGTCTTTGGTTGCAAGTAATATGAGGCTAAATATATGAACTCATTTTCCCAATTATTATAAACAATTTCCACACATCATAAGTGGGAAATTTGTTTTTCATTCATTTTACTTGGATGTTTTTGGCAGAAATATGTTTCTCACTGTTCATGTATAAACTAACTGAAGTTTCATTGTGCAAAAGCTGCCAATGAGAGAGGAGCTGCTAAAAAGGTAGAACCTCTGAAATCAAAAGTAGATATTGCTCACTTAAGTTGTTCATGCAGTAAGGGCTGGGTGCCTTATCTTCCCAGGTAGAAAGAACATCCCATGTCTTCTACGTGACTCACTGAAACTTCACCCACTAGAATGATTTTGGAGATTAATTCATGCACATTGAAACCCTATTTATTATCTCAAATAGACATATTTCTAATGACATACTCACAACATGATATAATAAACCATTTCATAAATATGCAGATGACATAATGGTGAACACAATTTTAGAGCTGATAGGGGCCCTATATGTTAACTAGATTCTTCTTTTATCAATGCAGATGTTTACCCCACACAATTCAGCTGGATAATAATCCATTTTTAAACCACATCATCAATCTATCTACAGACTACATCCTTCAAAGGCATCCATTCAAGTTTTGACTATCACAGCTCATATGGACTAGAAATTTCCACATAAAGTATACTGAAATGTTTCCCTGCAATTTTTGAACATTAATCTTAGCTTTCACACATTAATCCCTACCCCCCAACATAAGTCCAAGTTAGCCATTTCACTTTAAACAATAAAAATTAAGCTGAAATGTACATATTGCTACTTCTTTGCATTTTGTCATGATTCTGGTTGCTTCTGCCTCCTTGTCATGTATTCCAGTTAATTAGCATCCTCATTAATAATATTCCCAAGAAAACAACTTTGCCATTGATGTTTGAACATGGCAGTTTCCTATGAGAATGTCTTCCTTGCACCACAACTGCACCTTTCTCAATAAAAGCTAAGCAGCTTACAATCGTGTTTGTCAATTATAATGAAAGTACTGACTCTCATTAAGTTTGAATGAAAAAACCTTAGGGAATCTCAGGAGCCAGGGTTCCTCTCTAGTCTTGTTTAGTTGATTTTGGAATTATAAGCCTGACTTTTCAGTTATCACTATTAAAACAGTGTAGTTTTGCTACAAGTCACATATTTCATATTATTTTTAAAATATTGACTATATAATATAATCTGTTAGCTTTTCCTTCCATACTTTTATCATTTAAATTGCATAGGATTTCTCAATATGTTATTGGCTAAGATGGGTAAGACTAGTCAATAAAGTACCGAATCCTGAAACTCCTCATCAAAGACGCAACTCAGTGAATTTGGAAGAGCAACTGATAGTGAAACACCAAGCATGTTATCTTGCACCCTAAATTTCTTCATATTCTAGTCAAGAACACTATGAGAATTTTGTTCCAAATGCATTGCTAAAATAAAGACATGCTGACTTTAACATTTTAATAAACTGCTGAAATGAAGACATAGATAGCAACATGCTGTGCAAATCTGACACAGAGCTGCCAGCAATATTTAACACTCTGGATGATGCATCAAGGTTAGAAAGACAGGGGGACACTCAGTACTTCTGGTGCTCTAGAACTCCCCCACTGGGTAACTACAGGGAATTTAAAGCCAAAACCGTTCACTATATGAAACATTTATCTAATACACTTAATGTCTATGATTTTTAAAAAGACTGGCTGCTGTGCCACTGACAACACAAAAAATTCTTGGAATTTTAAAGATGTTTTCTATTTAAAAAAAATAGTTTCAACATTCAAGGTATGTTTTCTTAAAAGCTGAATTTCTCACAAATCTTTAATTTACATAATTATTTTTAAAGCTTTGTTTATTTATTTAAAAGGAAGAGTAACAAAGAGAGAGAGAGAGAGGGAGGGAGTGACAGGAAGAGAGAGATATTTTCCATCCTCTGGTTCATTCCCCAAATGGCCACAAAGGCCAGTACTGGGCCCATCTGATGCCAGTAGCTTCTACCAGGTCTCCCATGTGGGTGCAAGGGCCCAAGTACTTGGTCCATCTTCTGCTGCTTTCCCAGGCTCATTAGTAGAGAGCTGGATTAGAAGTGGAGCAGCCAGGACTGGAACAGGCGCCCATATGGGATGCCAGCACCACAGGCAGCAGCTTGACTGGCTAAGCCACAGTGCCAGCCCCTGCATAAATTTTTAAAATATGAAATACTTGAGGTTCCTAAAGAATATTCCCACTCTATCTTTGAATCTCACAGATTATTTGTTGCAACATAATCTTCTAAAAACTGTTATGCTTTGCACATAACGAGATATCGCACATGGCATCATTTTAAATATTTTTGAAATGTTTTCTGTTTACTGTCTTCCCAAGCAATGTTCCCTCTTTGCGTATTTAACTGGGACTCTGTAGTTGCAAACCTATGTGAAATGAGTAGGATTGCAAGAGTAACTTACTAAACAGGACCTACCAAATATTTTCATGCAGGTTTTTAAAAAAAAGATTTAAACTCAAACTTCATCAGAAGCTGCTGCAGCAGTTCCGTATGCTTCATCAGAGCTAAACCAAAGGCAAACGGAATTCATCATTTCCCAGCTGGGTGGTGTGAACTGTCTCAAGCAAGGCTATGATGCATACGCTGAAATAAGTGATCATAACATAATATATAACGCTCTCCTGTCACCAGATCAAAATGGAGTAGAAGAATCTCAGGGATTTTCACAACTTATTAGGGGACTCCCTGTTGTGCTCAGACTGCATGAAGAAAACACCATTAGCAGCTTATGAGAGGTACTTGAAGGACAAACAGTCTAGTGCCGAGAAGCTTACGTTCTTGAAAGGATGTGAAGAGCATCTGGAATCGGCTGTTTCGACTGCCCTCATCTGCCCACATGCGGATCACTCCAAGCCCTGTGCGAAGCATCACGTCGTTGGCCACGGTGCTGCAGAACTTGGCTTTCAGGTCCTCCACAGAACTGCTCCCATCGTACACGGCCACAAAGTTCCTCTTGCATTCGTTAGAATTCTGCATCTCGTAGTCCAAGAACCGCAAGTAAATCTGTAAAACAAAGGTAAGTAATGTGCAGATCAGTAAGTGTTAGCACGTCCTTTTTTTCTTTTTCCATCTCACAATGCAGTCTTGATTGCAATTACTCTTATTGTGGAAGAAGCATAAGTAACACTCAATGGCAGATTTCATCCAGATGTTATTGTCTTTTCTTTACTTAAACGTATCCTTAACTTGCAAATGTGCTTTATAAATTCCTGATTTATTCCTGCTAAAGTTCCATGGCTTCCTTCTACTTCCAAAAATGTCTGAGAATAAATCGTTTGTTTAATGCCAAAGGAAAACACAAGCGAAACCAAAAGACAGAGTTTGATTTCAACTGTGTAAATTATCTGACAAAACCAGACTGCTAGAGAAGTTGTTTGTCCATTAATCTATCAATTCCTCTAAACTCACAGCCTGGCCTTTTACTTTGTTGCAGATAACAGTCAAAGCATTGTGGGTGAAATGGTGAGCAAAAGACAGAGGGCCAGGGATGAAAGCATGTGTTGGTGAAATCATGAAAACCTTTGGGGCTGGTGTTGTGGTGTAGCCGTTGCCTGCAATGCTGGTGTTCCATATGGGCGCTGGTTTACAACTCAGCTGCTCCATTTCCAATCCAGGCCCTGCCAATGTACCTGGGAAAGCCACGGGAGATGGCCCAAGTTCTTGGGTCCTGCACCCACGTGAAGACCCAGAAGTTCCTGGCTCTTGGCTTCCATCTAACCCAACCCTGGCCATTGAGACCATTTGGGGAGTGAACCAGAGGATGGTAGATCTCCCTCTGCGTGTCTCTCTGTTCCCCTCTCTGTAACTTTTCCTTCCAAATAAATAAAATAAGTCTTACAAAAATACAATTACCAGACACAAGGTCAAACTTGAAATTACATAAAGCAAAACAAAACTGACAAACACCGACACTAGTACGATGAAAAAAACTTTGAGTAGCACATCTGGGATTGTTCCAGAATAAAGAAGGCAATCTTCACATAGATGTCTCCTAAGTGTTTCACATTTTTTTAGCATATACACCTATGCGTTACTTCCTCTTACATAAATTTCCCGTAATGTGATATTGATATAAACCAAAAACATGCACTCAATTTAAAAAGCTATTTTTTTTTTTATTTGAGAGATAGAGCTAGACAGTGAGAGAGAGAGAGACAGTGAGAAAGGTCTCCTTATGTTGGTTCACTCCCCAAATGGCTGTCATGGCTGGTACTGTGCTGATCCAAAGCTAGGAGCCAGGTGCTTCTCCTGGTCTCCCATGCAGGTACAGGGCCCAAGCACTTGGGCCATCCTCCACTGCCTTCCTGGGCCTCAGAGGAGAGCAAAAGCTGTGTCTTTCTTCTGCATGCATTTTTATTTTATTAACTATGAATCTCATATGACAAATTCTTCCCCAATACATTATGTATTTTTTTTAAAAAATCAGTCAGTTTCAGTTAATAGAAATGTATCTTTTGCCTTCACTATTCTTAATAACTTGATCATAACTTCCGGTTAATTTGATCTTCAAAATAGCTTTCTCTCTCCACTGATCTATCCATAAAGTTTCAAAACTTTCTTTACTAGCCTGGAGGTTTGCAAAGCATGGATTCTCAGTCAGTCTCCCAAACACAGCCCCACTGAAGTTAAGTTTCTGAGAAACGAATGTAATAACCACACTCTTTTAGCCGGAAGTTTGATCTGGCAAATCACAAGCACATCTACAAACCATGAACAGGCAAGTTTACCTCTCTTCTTATCTGCCTGCATTACACACTTATTTTGAAAAAAAGCCATCCTTCAGTTCTGTATCCATCAACCACTCTCTGTCTTCTGCCCAGAAACTTCCAGCTGATTTATCAAGGTTTACTTCACGCTCGGAGAAGGATTTCATGCCTCTCACTCTCCAAAAACGACAGAATTATTTCCCACACTTGCTCTGCTAAAATACTTTTAGGGCATATTCAAAATTCCTTCTACTGAATTGTGTGTTTCTGGAAAGGGAAGCAGCCACATATATTTTTGTCTTTAAGAGTTACACCACACTTTGCACACATTTAATACTCCATAAAACTGTGTGATTGGATGTCCTCGTGAAGAATGAACTGACTGGAAACTCTATATTCTTTACTGGTTCCATGTAAATGTTCAGCCTTCTCCAAATATTTATTGGGCATTTATATATTGCTTTATGTTATGCAAGTAATGGTAGTTATATAGAACAGTTGATAGTGCATTTTACTGTAAGAAGTTATAATTCTCAAAAGCAGTTATAGTTTAGAACTAAGATATCAAAGTGTGAGACAACATTCACGTGCTGCAGACTTGTGAGCAGCTGAAAATACACTAGAAGTTTCAACTGAGGAAATTCTGGTATAACTGAAGAGAAAGAACAGAAATCAGGGACATGGATGAAATTGAGAAACAATGAAAAACTGCTGAAGCCAGCCGGCACCGCGGCTCACTAGGCTAATCCTCCGCCTTGCGGCGCCGGCACACCGGGTTCTAGTCCCGGTCAGGGCGCTGGATTCTGTCCCAGTTGCTCCTCTTCCAGGCCAGCTCTCTGCTGTGGCCAGGGAGGGCAGTGGAGGATGGCCCAAGTGCTTGGGCCCTGCACCCCATGGGAGACCAGGAGAAGCACCTGGCTCCTGGCTTTGGATCAGCGCGGTGCACCGGCCGCAGCGGCCATTGGAGGGTGAACCAACCACAAAGGAAGACCTTTCTCTCTGTCTCTCACTGTCCACTCTGCCTGTCAGAAAAAAAAAAAAAAAAGTAAAACTGCTGAAGCTTTATTATGTTTTTCAAAGTAAAAGTGATTTTATACATAGGCAATCTGTAATGTTTGTTAGAAGCTGTCATAAAATTCCCAAATATGTTGATGCTAATTTTAAACTAACTGCCACTGCTTCAGCCTAAGGCAACATATGCCCAGAAAATCCTCAGACCCAGGTTATAGCTTTGTTTTATTCTATCAAAACTCAAATACTACTAATGTAGTCCATCTGTGATCTACTCTTCCTCAAACAATATTATCCTCCTGAATTTACTGAGAGAATCCTTATGTGTCTGATTTCTGTTAGGCATGTATCTAAAAATGCTAAACTCTCCAGAAGACCTGGATTGAGTTCCTGCAGCCCAGCATTGACCAGGTCCAGCCCTGGCTGTTGCAGGCATCTCTATTTTTAATTTCTCTGTGTCTTTTTGCTTTTCAAATAAATAAAGACATTTAAAAAACTTACTGATGCCATAGACAGGAGTGTCAATTGGTAAAGTCAACAACAGGAGTCACTGTGCACTTACTCCTCATGTAGGATCTCTATCCTTAATATGCTGTACATTGAGATTTAATGCTATAACGAGTACTCAAACAATATATTTCACTTTGTGTTTCTATGGGGGTGCAAACTGTTGAAATCCTTACTTAATGCATACTAAACTGATCCTCTGTAAAAAAAAAAAAAAAAAAAAAAAAAAAAAGAAAGAAATTATCAATTCCCAACTTGACTCTCACTGGGATTAAACATGACAATAGGTCTGCTCTGATTTCATCATCATTAAAAAAAATCATCTATTATTTTTCACTTTATGTTTCTGTGTGGGAGCAAACTGTTGAAATCCATACTTAATGTATACTAAGCTGATCTTCTGTATATTAAGATAATCGAAAATGAATCTTGATGTGAATGGAAGGGGAGAGGGAGTGGGAAAGGGGAGGGTTGTGGGTGGGAGGGACGGTATGGGGGGAAAGCCATTGTAATCCATAAGTCGTACTTTGGAAATTTATATGCATTAAATAAAAGTTTAAAAAAAAATGAAAATATACAAATATAAACCAGAGTTATAGCCATAAAGGAAGCAAACTATAACAAAATAAGTCATCTAACACAAATAAACAATCAAGAAGCAAAATCACTTCCTTTTCCAATAGGAATTTTTATAAGAAAAAAACAGGATAAATTTAAAAATTTAAATACATATTTATATTCTAAAACATTATGAAACAAATGAAAGATAGCCTATAAGATCTCAAAAGGATATATGATTTTCATTGCAAACATACGTGGTTGTAAACAGGAGAAAACACTGACAAGGGTCAACGACATGGGGCACTGTACTACTCGCAGTGATGCTGCTTTAGCATAGAGTTATGGAAATGGAATACCATGCCCAGAGAAAGAAAATACTCCATTCAGGTAACTGCTCAGCTAACTCAACAAAGATATTTAGTTGCTGGATGCTTTCATGTGGAAGTGTTTGCCCAGCCTACTGTACCTGAACAATCATTTCAAGTGTCTTACGCAGCATATCAAAACACAACTGGAAATGCTAATTTATTATTAGGAAAAGTGAGTCTACAAGGAATGTTGTCAAGATTTGAAGACACTGCTAATGTATTATCCTACTCAGACCTCCCAGAAACAAGCCTTTGTTGTATTCAGAAAACCAAAGTGTAGGGGCCAGCGCCGTGGCTCACTTGGTTAATCCTCCACCTGCGGTGCTGGCATCCCATATGGGCACCTGGTTCTAGCCCCGGTTGCTCCTCTTCCAGTCCAGCTCTCTGCTGTGGCCCAGGAGGGCAGTGGAGGATGGCCCAAGTGCCTGGTCCCCTGTACCTGCATGGGAGACAGGGAGGAAGCACCTGGCTCCTGGCTTCAGATTGGCGCAACTCTGGCTGTGGTGGCCATTTGGGGAGTGAACCAACGGAAGGAAGACCTTTCTATCTCTCTCTCTCTCTCTCTCACTGTCTATAACTCTACCTGTCAAATAATAAAAAAAAGAAAAGAAAACCAAAGCATAGAAAATCCAGGTAACTTTCCCAAAGTGAAACAAACCCTCAAGCAGGGGACTGGCGTTGACATCAGATCTGCCTGATACTTGGCTTCTCATCACACTAGAAAGGTACAATTGTAAAGAAACCAGATGCAACAAAAGAAGTAATCAAATAGCCAAAAGCAAAAACAGTTCCATTTTCCCAAAGGGGCTTAGACACATGATTATGAGTATATGAAATTAATAAAAAATCA